TATATTTGATAGCTTATGACTTATGGTTGAAAAGCTAGCTTACAAGATGGTAAAATAAAAATTTCAGCGGACTTATTTGAAAGCCACCTAAAGAAGCTTATGAGATAAGCTCGAGCTTTCTACCAAACCAAGCTTATTTGAATACAGGAGCTTATAAGCTAACCAAATATGCTATAAGCTTATGGTGCTTACCAAACACACTCATAGCCTTGTCCCCAAGGCTGGTAGAGATACAGTGTCCAAGATCTAACCTACATCAAAAGTAAAATTGCCCCTTTGTGCTCTACTAATAGCCTCATTATCAGCAATAAGGCTTGAAGTGATTTGTTGTGACGGGCATGCTTCAAGCAATACAATTGTTTACACCAAAAAAGGCCCTTCGCTCCCAGGTTCAGATTTTCCTGATGAGAGTAATGGTGGAATTCCTTATTTGAGCGTCTGAGCATTATCGATCTGGAGATGCATAGTCGCTTCTGGGATTTGAGAAGACATGGTGGAAATATTTCCTGGAGTGGGTTGATTGAAATCGCTCGGCTTAGGGTCATTTGACGAATGTGTGCTGGGGTTGAAAAAATTGAAAATAATAGAATTTATGCCTCGGATTCCCTGCCGAAAACCTGTACTCCATCTCTTTTCCCCTCCTGCAGATTGACCAATTGATGTTCATGGTGAAGGAATTGAGTTTTCGTGCAATGGAATGCGGAACTATCATCACTATCGTAAATCAGCAGTATTGTTTGGTGGAAATGACCACAGATTACTTTTTAACCCCATTTAGAAACAACCGTAGCTGGATATTAGAGGGTGACGCTGGTATATGGGCAGCACGTGTGATAAATTGATGGCAGTATTCTCCATCACCTATTTGATGGAGGGAAGCCAACAACTCAACTGGTAGGGCGGACAGAGCTACCAAATTGCTCCATTGGTTCTGTTTTCAGTTGTGACCATGTAAGCGGCTGTGTCTGCTGTTGTAACCATTGCATCCAATGAAGGTCTGGCCCTTCTATGCTAACAAAACGTGTTGTAAACTTGTAACCCATCTTGCATGCTGTGGATGGTGAAGTTACTGCTCAACCCTAGCCATCCATCCACAATCGTGTGGGTTCTATCAAAATATGATATCTTAGTTCGTTAGGCAGTCAGGTGGACATCAGCCATGGTGTGGGGTTTGGGGATGTTGACTTGATCGGCTTGGGAGGTGCAGCTTGCTTCAGTGTTTTGCTTTGGTAGACAAAAATTGTGTGACCAGCTCCATAAGTTTGGGGATAACCTCCTCGACATGAGTGAGCTTCGGTCGAGTAGTTCCTGTCCTTCTCCATGGTTTCAATAATCCTTTTATTCTTCTCCTTAGCCCAAAGCCAGACGTGGAGGTCTACCAATTTTATTTTTCTTTTCCTCTGAAGTTCCTGATTAGTCTCGTATCGTATTACAGGGCAAGGTACTTGCAGTGCCCCCAAACTCATCGTCCCACTATTCTATCGTATTACAGAGCAAGACACTTGCACTTGCAGATTGTGCTCTTTATTCTCACTTACCAATTATTGTGTAAAAGGCATTGCATGGCGGGACTATTGTACTGTTCAGATGTTGTATTAATTTGTCTTGGTCAACCTGTTCTTTTTTACTATTTACTGTTTCTGTTTCGTGTGATTGAGTCTGGCATTATACACTAAAAGACCGGTTGGTATTCAGGATAGTCCTGCTGAGGAGCAATGGTTTCTATTGAAGATGATGCTAAAAAAGATGTAATACCTCACTGAAGATTGTATGATCTATCAATCTGAACAAATTGACTAGAAATTAAGCAAATAAAAAAGGTTGTGTACTTTGAGTGGTAAAATTCAATCATCAAAAAGAGAAAAAAAAAAGTTTAAAAGTGTGCAATCTACCAGACACCTCTAATGATGCTGGAAGTGGTAAGCATTATTCTGGTGGTTGGGCAAACAACCACAAGGATACATTTTAAGCTTAAGCTATCACTTGAGAACAACAATGCATGGAATTTCCTGCATTGTTGCAAAAAAAGAAGAGGCGCAGAACATGGAGTTGAGCAGCTGATTAATACTTTTTTTTTTGGTTAATATTGGATCGACGAAAGAGCTTCCTGAGTTATTTTTTTCATTTACATTGTCCTGATATTTAGTGGGAAACTATTAATGGAAGAATTACCTGTTTTAAGTGTTTGACATTATATTAACTGATCTTGGCTTTTAGCTTATTGAGATGTTGATTGTTGGCTATTTTTCATCATATATCTTTCCGTTGTTTATTTTTTCTTCCATTGACTATCTTATGCTCATTGAGTTTCAGATCATTGATACTGTAAGGAAGCATATTTTGACTGGAGGACGTAAGAGGCTTCCTCATACTGTCCCTCCACTTATATTTAGTTCTCTAAAGGTATGTTCTAACCAGTTCCTTCTCAATGCTTGATCCTGCTGAGCTAATAGACTAGCCGTCATCTGGAAAATCTTCGAGGATTCACATAGCATAGGATCAGTACATGCAGTTTCCTCTGCCGTTTTCATAAAAAATGCATTGTGTTCTTAGTGTGGAGGAGGTAGAGAACTCGTATTTTTATTTTTCTTTACATTTTAAGATTCTTATTTAGTCTTGCTGGAAGAGTCAAAAGACAGCGTAAAGGCATGTGTCTACGCATATTAAACCTTTGTAGGGCGTGGTTGTTTTTCTAACTGGTGGCAGAATGCTATACTTGCATATACTGTGAGGATTCGTGTGTTGCTAAAAAACATGATTTATTCTAAAACCTTTGTGGGTGGGTGTGAGTGTGTGTATTTTTTTTTCATGTTAATTTACTAATTACAAACTTACGCCAGGTAGTATCTAGGCGGTGCTATTATGTTTAAGTTTTTCTCTTGAATTATTGTTTCCAGCTTGTACGCAGACTGGAGGATAGGAATGAAAGTGAATCTGACGACAAGGAATCAGCCACACTAAAGAAAATCTTTCAAATAGTGACCCAGGTATTAATGATTTTTTTTTTTTGCAATGATATTTTAAGCTTTATACTTTCTGTTTTAGATGCTGTGCAGTTTCTGTCCCTCTAGACGAATATAGCTTTCAATAAATGTAGCTTGATTTAGACATTCTCTTCATGCAATGTTCAGCAATAGTTTCACTCTGATTAGTCACTCGATTAATTTTCCACATAGATTTTTTCAGTAAGTTGGCAACAATTTCAACTTCTTTTATTGTAGACCATTGATGCTTTGACGAGTATTCCAGTACCTGAACTGGCTTTAGGATTGTACCTGCAGTGTGCCGAGGTACCCCTTTGTTAACCAGGAATCTTTATTTTTAGTTTCTTTTCGAACTTGTGATTTCTAAGTTACTGATTCTCAGGCTGCAAATAACTGTGACCTGGAACCTGTAGCATACGAGTTTTTCACCCAAGCTTATATCTTATATGAAGAAGAAATTACGGTATGTACCCAAGTTTCTGTTGTCACATTTTCTTACTAGACATTATCGGTATTTGGGTAAAATACGTTAAATGTCTAAATAAAAATATTTCGACTTGTCATTTTTTGTTTTTAATTGCTTCTATAGGATTCAAAAACTCAGGTGACTTCTATACACCTAATAATTGGGACTCTTCAAAGGATGCATATATTCGGGGTCGAGAATAGAGATGCTTTGACACACAAAGCCACTGGGGTAAATTATTATTGTAAGCCTTGTGGTCATAAAATAGAGTTGTCATGCATGTCTCAGTAAAAAAATATATACGGGAGGACACTTTGTCGAGTCTCTTGTGGCAGGTCTATTTGCTGTTACTTAAAAAAATTGATTTGACTTGTGATCATCTTTCTTAACCTGTCCTTAGTATTCTGCAAAGCTGTTGAAGAAGCCTGACCAATGTAGAGCCGTTTATGCATGTTCACATCTGTTCTGGCTTGATGAACATGACAGTATCAGAGATGGGGAAAGGTGTGTTTGGCTGTTGGGATATTTATTCATTTTGGATTTGCAATACTATAATTTTTTCTCGATGTTTGTCTAGGGTTTTACTCTGCTTAAAGCGTGCTCTGAGAATTGCGAATGCCGTCCAACAAATGGCCAATGCAACCAGAGGCAATAGTGGATCGGTTCTACTCCTTATAGAGATACTGAACAAGTGGGGCTGCAGATAATTTCATTTTGTGCCTTTCATACACTGTTGTCAATATATTACTGATAAAAGCTTACTTTTCCTGTTTCTTCCTTTTATTGTTAGGTATCTTTACTTCTACGAAAAGGGGGTCCCACAGATCACTTTGGAGTCGATCCAGAGCCTGATTGAATTGATCAAAACCGAGATACAGGGTGATAATGTGCCGTCAGATCCAGGGGCAGATGCTTTCCTGGCGAGTACATCACGGTATATACAGTTCCAGAAGGACAAAGGTGGTGTGGTCGGGGAGAAGTACAAGCTTATAGTGATCTGATTTTCCATTTTCTAAATTTTCTAGAGTCAGGTGCTTTTGCGCGACAGATAAAGGGTGTTGTTAATGGTTAATTTTGGATTTGTTCTGACCAGTAATAGGAGTGACAACTCTCGGCTTATTCTATACGTTTACGAAGGTCTTCCTGTAGAAAGTTGTGATAAAATTCTGGAATTTGATATTCAGAATCTCATGGCTGTAGTGTTGGAGCTTTTAAAAGATCGATTTCATGATTTGTAGTGGTGGTTAATAGTTATGACTTATGAGCAATGTCCTGTTTGTCAATGGTGCAGAGTTTTGATTCAATTTATGAAAATATGAAATGGCTTTTTTTTCTTTTTTTTTTTCTTTTTNTGTTGTTTTAGTACGTATGATTCTGAAACCATGATCAACCAGTGGTACCACTTAAAACAAATGAAAATACTTACAACAAAACTCAAACATTTAAGTATATATTGCCTCTATTAATTTATAAAATACAAACGACAGTTGTTTTAGCAGTAGGCTGAACTACTGACAACAATAATTTTTTCAATATATATGCTTACTAAATAGTAAATACAACATAAAAAATATAAATAATTGTATTTCACAACATCAATATATATTTTTATTAGAAAAGTTTGACGGGTTGACCCGTCTAACCGATAGACTATCTACCAACAAATATTGTGTTATTTCAGGCCGCTGCCTCAAAGAGTCTTAGCTAAAGCTTAGACAAAGATTGTGTTACAACGAGAATGCAGCAGTAAAACAAGTTGGGGGTGTTCTGAAATTGATCATGACTGGGAAAATCAGTGAGTCAGCACATTGCATACTTGTGAGTCCAGGACCGAGCCACTGAGTCATATTTTGACCTATCGGTTTTGTACATGTGGGCTATTTCAGGAACCAAAGGATCATCTGGGTTTGGATCTGTTAGCAACGAGCATACTGAAAGAAGAACCTGCACCAAAAATATATAACCTTATCAATTTGTTGAAGTATTTTGTTATGTAATCCATTCACTATTTTACTAAATTGTCCCCAAGTCTAAAAGAGCCTTTCAACTTTCTATGCACACACCCCAAATTAAGTGATGATTAAAAAAAAAAAAAAAAANTTAAAAAAAAAAAAAAAAATGCATGTAGAAGCATAAAATACCTTGGATATGGTGAGAGCTGGACTCCACTGATCCTTGAGGATATCTAAGCATATATTCCCATTATTGTTAATGTTTGGGTGAAATACTTTGGTCCTGAAGGCTACCTGCACAAGTTTTACTTCCTTTAATTGTTATGAAGCAACTTATTGATTTAAGTATCATACTTTTCAACACAAATTCAACTGAGTTAGCAGCTCTCGTTTAGTCAATTATTTAGTACATCGTTTGTGAATAATTGTGGATGACTGTATAAGCCGTGTTCAATAAGTTTTGCACTTTTCAATGCCACATACTACTTATTTTATTCTGAACACACGACATTTTACTACATAAAATATTTTTGTTTAAAGAGACGTATTATTAATCCACTAAAATCAATTTCGATCCATTAAAATTGAGTGACAACAATTCTTTTTTGTGAGAGAAATCTATTCCTTTCAATTATACTGCTCTTCAAACTGGGATCAACTTGACTTACACAAAAAAATGAGAAATATAAAATTTGAATTAGAGTAAGAATCAAAGACACATACTCAATTTTCATTCTATCCGTCACATGATTTCTATAATATTTTTGTTTCATTCTATCTTGATTTTCCAGGAAAACCAAGACTGATCAATTACATATTTTATTTTTCTGAAAAAAAAAATAATGAGTGTACTAACATAACTAATATAATATTGTTTCTCCAGTGCCATTAATTCTCACTGAAATAAGGAACAATAACTAAAATTTAACACATTCCATCAAATGTAAAAACACATAAATACAGACTTTCTTAATATATGCAAAAAATAAATAAATAAAGACAACAAATAGAAGGAATTGAGAGTCATATATGATACCTTGGGTGGTTTAAATGGATAATCAGGGGGAAAATGAATGGCAACTTGGAAAACACCACCAGAATAAGGGCTATCATTTGGTCCTATTATGGTTGCTTGCCACTGAAACATGTCATGACCCACTGGACCTGAACATTAATCATTCATTCATTCATCGCTCAACATATATATTATATATGCATGATATATTTATGTGTTCTAATGTAACAAATAAAATTATAAAATCTACAATCATGCACTATAGTTAGAAAATTAAAATTTTACTGATTAAAATACAAGTTTGATCATATTGTTTGTTATATATACTAGTGCGTGGCCCGTGCGATGCACGGGAAAACAATATTACGATTGTATTATAAATTAAATATATAAATAACATTAATCATGATTTATCTATTGTTTTTAAATTAATCCGAGTTGGACACAGTCCGACCGGATGAACCGATAACCGGTTTATAACCAGTCTAGTTTATTTGAATAAAATATTTGCTCTCGAATCCGTCAACACCAGTCGGTTGGACTGGTAGGATCGATATGATTTTCTAAATAAATTTTGTTATATTTAAAATTATTTTAAATAAAATTCCATATTTAAATAAAATAGATATTTATACATTGTTTCTCAATTAGTTTAAGCATTTGAATATAAATTGTTTAGATATCTAAGTAACACATTTTAGATATCTATTAAAATGTTTATAAATTAAAACAAACCACAAATGATTTAATAAAATAGCTTGATCGTTTTGATGACGGTCTAGTTCTGAAAACCTTGTATTTACTCTACATTAATAAATATTATAATAAAATATTATTTAA